GAAGAAGAAGAAGAAGAAGAAGAAGAAGAAGAAGAAGAAGAAGAATTTATTTGTACCCCGCCCACTCTGGGCAGTTTCCACATATACAAAAAATACATTAATATGTCATACATTAAAAACTTCCCTGAACAGGGATGCCTTAAGATGTCTTCTGAATGTCAGGTAGTTGTTTTTCTCTTTGACATCTGGTGGGAGGGCGTTCCACAGGGCGGGCGCCACTACCGAGAAGGCCCTCTGCCTGGTTCCCTGTAGCTTTGCTTCTCGCAATGAGGGAACTGCCAGAAGGCCCTCGGCGCTGGACCTCAGCGTCTGGGCAGAACAAATGCAGTAGCCAGAGTGCTGATGGGGCACATGGCCGACAATAGAAAACCATTGTTAAAATATCTGCACTGGCTGCCCATCTGCATGAAGTTTGCTCCTGAAAAGATGTTTGTTTGTCTTAAGCCAGCCTCTCTCTCTCTCTCTCTCTCTCTCTCTCTCTCCCCCTAGCAGTTTTATTGTATTTTTAAAAATTGGGGGAGGAGATTTATGTTTCCATAGACTACTTGCGCAGGAGATGGTAAGTAATTCAACTGCTTTAAGAATACTCTCACCATTTTGTAAGCTGTTTTGCCTAACTTTCTGATGTTGCAAAATGCCGATTCAAAAATAAATGGTGTCCCTCTAAGAGTCCAGGGTTTCACATTGTTTTCCTACTAAAGTAAGCTAAGCAGTAGACATACATCTCCCAGAATTAGGGGGGGGGGGCGACAAACCTCTCTATTATTATTTATTGACAAAGGAAGGGCATGCTAAACAAAAGTTCCCAAATATACACATCTAGCTGGCAGGTTGGCTTGCAGAATGTAGCAGTAAAATTGCTGAGCATATTTTGATTTCCTCCTTCCGCCCATCTCTTCCTTTTATATGGGCCAAGCCACTTTTAAAAAACTACAACATGGAAACTAGTGCCCATAAGTACAGTGCATGCCACAATCCTCAGTTCCCTATCTTAGTTATGTACTGTGGGAAGACATATTTCCTTTTCTCCACTCTGAAGCTATTCTCAGTGGAGATGCCGCACCTTAAACAAAACCATTTTAAATTTCCCTGAGTCCTTTCCATCAGGCTGAGAGGATCAGTCTGCTGTCTGGGTGCTAGAGAGAGGACAGGGCTCCTGTACCTTTTAATAGTGCACAAGAGGGAATTTCAGCACTGCAATTTGCATGAAAAGCTACACCTGCCGAAATGGCATCTTCTGCACAACTCTTAAAGGGGAATGAGCCCTATCCTCTTTTTAGAACAGTTTCCCCAATTGTTGTTGGACTACAACTCCCATCATCCCTAGAGGGCAGGACCAGTGGTCAGGGATGATGGGTATTGTAGTCCCAACAGCAGGAGACCCAAGTTTGGGAAACCCTGTTTTAGCACCTGTCTACCCTAAATGCTGCTGGAGGAGACTCTTGAGAGTCCCATGGACTGCAAGAAGATCAAACGTATCCATTCTTAAGGAAATCAGCCCTGAGTGCTCACTGGAAGGACAGATCCTGAAGCTGAGGCTCCAATACTTTGGCCACCTCATGAGAAGAGAAGACTCCCTGGAAAAGACCCTGATGTTGGGAAAGATGGAGGGCACAAGGAGAGGGGACGATAGAGGACGAGATGGTTGGATAGTGTTCTCGAAGCTACCAGCATGAGTTTGACCAAACTGCGGGAGGCAGGGGAAGACAGGAGTGCCTGGCGTGCTCTGGTCCATGGGGTCACGAAGAGTCGGACACGACTAAACGACTAAACAACAACAACCCTAAATGTGGATGGCACTGTGGGTTAAATCACAGAGCCTAGGGCTTGCCAATCAGAAGGTCGGCGGTTCGAATCCCCGCGACGGGGTGAGCTCCCGTTGCTCAGTCCCTGCTCCTGCCAACCAAGCAGTTTGAAAGCATGTCAAAGTGCAAGTATATAAATAGGTACCGCTCCGGCGGGAAGGTAAACAGCGTTTCCGTGCGCTGCTCTGGTTCGCCAGAAGCGGCTTAGTCATGCTGGCCACATGACCCGGAAGCTGTATGCCAGCTCCCTTGGCCAGTAAAGTGAGATGAGTGCTGCAACCCCAGAGTCGTCCGCGACTGGACCTAATGTAGATACCAAAGGAGCAGAAACGACTATTTATGCACTTGACGACAGCAGCGCGGATACTTCTGGCCCAGAGATGGAAAGAAGATAAAGTCCCGACCAGAGACAAATGGCTGATGAAGATGATGGACTACACGGAAATGGTGAAAATGACAGGGAAATTCAGAAACCAGGAAGAGAGAAACTTTAATAAGGAATGGGAGAAATTTCAAAAATTACCTAAGAGAGTACTGTAAACAACTAAAAACTTTGGCAGGGTATGAGTAACGCTTGTAATGTACAGTGGTACCTCAGGTTACATATGCTTCAGGTTACACACTCCACTAAGCCAGAAATAGTGCTTCAGGTTAAGAACTTTGCTTCCGGATAAGAACAGAAATCGGGCTCTGGCGGCGCGGCAGCAGCAGGAGGCCCCATTAGCTAAAGTGGTGCTTCAGGTTAAGAACAGTTTCAGGTTAAGAATGGACCTCCGGAACAAATTAAGTACTTAACCCAAGGTACCACTGTACTATTAATTAAGGTAAAAGTGTTAATTATTAATTAAGGTAAAAGCTTCTTAACCTGAAGCACCACTTTAGCTAATGGGGCCTCCTGATGCCGCCGCGCCGCTGGAGCACGATTTCTGTTCTCATCCTGAAGCAAAGTTCTTAACCCGAGGTACTATTTCTGGGTTAGTGGAGTCTGTAACCTGAAGCGTCTGTAACCTGAAGCGTACGTAACCCGAGGTACCACTGTATTGAAATACTGCCCCTCAATGAGGCCAAACTTAGATTCACAAAATGTTTAGGGGTATGCGTATCCCTGCATCCCCCCCCAGAAAAAAAGCACTGGCCTTGGTACTCGGACATTTTGGCTCCCAAACGCCACAAACCCGGAAGTGATTGTTCCGGTTTGCGAACATTCTTTGGAACCCGAACGTCCGGCATGGCTTCTGCAGCTTCCGATTGACTGCTGGAGCTTCCTGCAGCCGATCAAAAGCCGTGCTTTGGTTTGCGAATGTTTTGGAAGTCAAACGGACTTCCAGAACAGATTCCCTTTGACTTCCAAGGTACAACTGTACATGATTCAATACAGGGAATAGCTCAGTTGGTAGAGCATGAGACTTTTATTCTAAGGCCCTGGGTTCGAGCCCCAAATTGGGCCAAAGATTCCTGCATCACAGAGGGTTGGACTAGATGATCCTCATGGTCACTTCCACTCTATGATTGTATGTTTACTCAGAAGTAAATCCCTCTGAGTTCAATGAGTCTTGCTCCTCAGTAAGTAGGTACAGGAGCCTTCTCCACAGGAGCACTACAGATTGTTTCTGCTTGCATTTCTAAATGTTCTGTCAGGGATGGCCCGCCTTTTAACAATCTCTCCACTTGGTATATAAGACCACAGTGGATTTGAAAGCTTTGTACTGCAAGTGACCTTAGAGGCTGAAGTAAGTAGGAGTCTGATTTTAGGTAGCTTAAAGCTGTTGGACTTTGAAATTTTGGAATGTGCTTTATTGTGGTTGCTCGGCTCCATTTATTACCCTTTTAAACAAACTTTGTTTTAGACCTTTGAGGGTGTCTGCTTAAGGAGTAGCTGTTCTTTCTGGGTGGAGACATGTAACATGGTAGCTGGCTGGAGCCCCCATATTTAGTGGCAGTATAAAAGGAAAAGGGACCCCTGACCCTTAGGTCCAGTCGTGACCAACTCTGGGGTTGCGGCGCTCATCTCGCTTTATTGGCCAAGGGAGCTGGCGTACAGGTTCCAGGTCATGTGGCCAGCATGACTAAGCCACTTCTGGCGAACCAGAGCAGTGCACGGAAACGCCGTTTAGCTTCCCGCTGGAGTGGTACCTATTTATCTACTTGCACTTGACGTGCTTTCGAACTGCTAGGTTGGCAGGAGCAGGGACCGAGCAACGGGAGCGCACCCCGTCGTGGGGATTCGAACCGCCGACCTTCTGATCGGCAAGTCCTAGGCTCTGTGGTTTAACCCACAGTGCCCTGGAGACAAATGAGGGGAAGGCTGTTGGCTTTTCTGCCCCGGCTTTGCACGAATGAAAATGAACTGTTGGTCCAGGTCAGGGGTCTGCAAGCCGTGGCTCCGGAGCCGCATGTGGCTCTTTTACACCTTTGCCGTGGCTCCGGGGCGGATACTAGCGAGGGGAGGAGGCGCATTGTGCGCCCCGACACTCCCCACTGTGGCGGGCGCTGTACTGGCTGTGACGTCGCATTGGGGGCAGTGCGTGCGTTAGTCACGCACCGTCCCGACGTCACCTTCCCGCCCGCTACATTGTAAGGGGCATGTACGCTGGTCACTGTTTTGAAGGGGAGTGAAGAACACACACACACAAAAAGGTAATTTGTTAATTTAACGTTTATTTCTATGAGGAGGAGTAATTCTGAGGGGTCAAACAAAGAAATAATTTTTAAAAAGTGACAAAAAAGTTATTTTTATAATGACGAGTTTTGCAGCTCCCAGTTTTTTTTTCTTCGGAAACGGGTCCAAGTGGCTCTTTTTGTCTTAAAGGTTGCAGACCCCTGGTCCAGGTGAATGCAAGTTTCGCATGGCAGGGGTTGCGTCCTGACTTTTTGTCTTATGCAAGGAGAAACGCTCTGCAAACTCTTGATTGTAGTACTTTCAGTGGCAACACTGCAGAGACTATTCCCAAATATTTTGTCTCAGTGATGTTAGATGGAAAAACCTATGACAACCCATTATAGTAAGCCTCTAACCAAATAAACATGCCGCTATAGACACCAAATCCACATCATTCTACATCCAGAGGTGGGTTCCTGTATCTCTGCATGACTCAGCAAGCTGTTAACTATCTGTAAGTCTCACCTGAAGGCCTAGCCCCCACCCCGGCCATCTGATAGGACTATTTGTGTTTTCTCCCCTCCTCTTGAGGAGTTTGCTATTACCCTACAGAAATATCTGGGATTACCCAATTCTTTTTCCTTCATTCAGTCAGCTGACTTGGCAACTGCAGAAACCCAGGTGGTCCCTCTCATCTGTAATCTACTTCAAAATGTGAGTTGTCATATTTTAGGACTTGGCTAGTTAATTCTAGGTTTTGCTTTGCAACAGCAGTTTTCCATTTTTGAATTTCTCTTGATTGCTAAATATACAGTGGTACCTGGGTTCTCAAACGCCTTGGTACTCAAACAACTTGGAACCCAAATACTGCAAACCTGGAAGTAAGTGTTCTGGTTTGCGAACTTTTTTTCAGAAGCCGAACGTGCTCTATTTTGAGGGTTATGTTTCCGTTTTGAGTGCCACACTTCCATTTTGAGTGTTACGCTGAGGTCTGTCTGGTTTTGCTATTTATTTTGCGTTTCTGTTTTTGCGGCTCTTTCTCGTTTTGTTTTTGTGACTGTGTGGAACCCAGTCCAACTACTGATGCATTGATTGTGTGACTGCAGTACATTCTTTATTGCTTTCATTTTATGGATCAATGGTCTCGTTAGTAAAATTCATGTTAAATTGCTGTTTTAGGCGTTGTTTTTTAAAAAGTCTGGAACGGATTAATCCATTTTGCATTACTTTCTATGGGAAAGCGTGTCTTGGTTTTGTAATGCTTTGGTTTTGGAACAGACTTCCGGAACGGATTAAGTTTGAGAACCAAAGTGCCACTGTACAGTGGTGCCTCGCAAGATGAAATTAATTCGTTCTGCGAGTTTTGTCGTCTTGCGATTTTTTTCGTCTTGCGAAGCACGGTGTCGGGAAAGCTTTGGAAAAGCTTCAAAAATCACCAAAGTCTTTAAAAACCTCAAAAAAGGCTACCACACCGCGTTCTATGAGTTGCTTCTTGAAGTCAAGTCGCAACTGTATTAACGGTGTTAAGAAAAAGGAAACAAACTTGCAAGACATTTCCGTCTTGCGAAGCAAGCCCATAGGGAAAATCGTCTTGCGAAGCAGCTCAAAAAACAAAAAACCCTTTCGTCTAGCGAGTTTTTTGTCTTGCGAGGCATTCGTCTTGTGAGGTACCACTGTACTTCATTGGGATATTTGCCTATAAGCCTGCGGCTGGCTTTATGCAGTCCCCATCTGTGCCACTATCTGTGCAGATGCTAACCTGGCTTTCTTTAAGGCCTCTTGTTCTCCAGAAGTAAAACTGTCAGCCTGAACCTTCTGCATGTTCAGGCAAAGTATTAAAATTTCAGATGGTAGCAGCACTTCTTTGGAGTAAGCATTGGAGGGCATCTTGCAGCCTGTCTTACCTCAGAGGTTGTTGTAAACAAAAAATGCCCTTTTCCCTTATGGTGTATCCAAGAGCCCATATAGAGTCCTTACATAGGTTCCCTATTGGTAGGAGAGAATAACAGAGGCCAACCAGAGAATATTGAGAAGCAAAGCAGCTAGTAAGCTTGATCTTTATTGATCTGTTGCAACAGGGTGCTCCCTCACACGCATGAGAGGAAGAGGAACCCAGAAAAATGGCACACAAGGCCTTATAAAGACTTTTGAAATTTCCACCCTGTAGATCAAGACCACTCCCAGAAACATCATACATACATCACAGAAGGGGTGTAACCTAAGACCACCCCTCAGATACATCACACCTACATCACAAAAAGGCGGTCTAGAACAGAATTTTGAATGTTGTTTCTCCTGTTTGCCAGGTTATCTGATTGTCTTTCCTGATAGTCTGTCACCCATTAAAATGCTGATTACTCAACTCCTGAGACAATGGGAAGGCTCCCTGACCCCCTTGCAGGGAAAACATTTGGTCAGTTTAGGAATCAAAATGGTTCCAGTTCGGTCTTCCTGTGCTGATCTATGTACGTGCTTGGTTGGTAACTTATGAACATTACCATATATCTAAGACCTCAAAATTCCTATCACAAGGTGGAGGGTGCTGAACCCCATATGTCATGGGTAAAAGTCTCCTCTGATTAGACTGTAATGCTTCCTGTCCTAAGCTTGTAGTGCAGGAATATTGCATCTCCCCTAACTAATTCTATCTGTGACTGAGCTAGGAGAAGGAAGCGTCAGATCCAAACTTCTGCTATCAACTTCCTGGATGGCCTTTGGGCAAGTGTGTGTCTGCTTTGGCTCCAATCTGTAATGACCGCTCCCCACATCAAATGGGGGGCGCCTTTTGCGTGGTCGTGCGCAGCCCCCTGGATCCCAATGTGGCTCCCAGTAGTTCTGGCTGGCTTCGCCCTCCCCAGGCTGGATACCTGGAGGTCTCCGCCTACCTCAGCCAATCGCCCAATCCCGCCTGGGAGGCGTTGCCAGGGGATTGGCCAGTAGGGGGAGGGACCACCCTGCCCACACAACAGAAGGTGAATCTTACCTGCGAAGCGTCAGTTGGCTTCTTGCAGCCAATCAAAAGCCGTGCTTTGGTTTTCGAACATTTTGGAAAGTCGGACGTCTGTTTGACTTCCGAGGTATGACTGTATTAGAAAATCCCCAGATAAAAATCCCCTAACCTTCTATAGCCTTCTGGCCTCATGACCTTTATAAAAAAGCAATTAATAAGAGCTACATTTGTTCTGAAAAGGCAATAAAAAAGCAACATTATTTTTCTCAGGTCTCCAGCTGTTGTTGGACTACAACTCTCATCATCCCTATCTAACAGGACCAATGGTCAGGGATGATGGGAATTGTGGTCCAAAACAGCTGGAAACCTTGGGTATGCCAGAAAGGGAAGGAGTGGACCTGTTAGCTTCATTTAGAGTAATAATAATAATAATAATAATAATAATAATAATAATAAATAATTTATTATTTATACGCCGTCCACCTGGCTGGGCTTCCCCAGCCACTCTGGGCGGCTTCCAAAAAAATATTAAAATACTGTAATACATCAAACATTAAAAGCTTCCCTAAACAGGGCTGCCTTCAGATGTCTTCTAAAAGTCTGGTGGTTGTTGCTCTCTTTGACATCTGGTGGGAGGGCATTCCACAGGGAGGGCGCCACTACTGAGAAGGGCCTCTGCCTGGTTCCCTGTAACTTGGCTTCTCGCAGTGAGGGAACCACCAGAAGATAACTAACACACCTGTAGTATCCTTTACCTTTATTTTGTTTGACCTCTTGGGTACTCTGTGTGGTGGTTAAAAGGGTCATCATAGGGAAGGCTGTGTTCAGGAGGGATTGTGAGAGAGCAGTGTGGGGATGGCTTGAATGAATCTATGTAGAAAACTTGCATTGACTCTTAATGCTCCCTGCAAAACAGACCACCTTAAGTTGCAGTTCTCAAGTAGGTTTCTGAGTACTTTCTCCACTGTGTGCAATGCGAATGGACCTTCTTATGATAGCTGACGCTTCTCTTTAGCTTTCTGCAGTGACATTTCATCATCGCCATGTCTAATAATGAAGGAAATGGGAAAGCTGAGAGCCATGAGGTCACCGAAAAGGGACAACAGGTAAGGTGGTCCTTGCTGCAACATTTAAGCTTTAGACTCAAACAGCAAGTTAATAATAATAATAATAATAATAATAATAATAATAATAATAATAATAATTTATTTGTTTGTTTGTTCGTTTGTTTGTTTGTTTATACCACGCCTATCTGGCTGGGCTTCCCCAGCCACTCTGGGCAGCTTCCAACAAAATATTAAAATACAGTAATGCATCAAACATTAAAAGTTAGTCTAACTACTTCCTCCCCAAAGAGTGACGCTACACAAGGAAGGATTTTCTGGTGCTTTGTATTCTTACTTGACAGTAACTGCAGGCAGCTGTACTCCAAATCTGACTAGAGCTACAATGCCTTTTTAAAAACAAAAACATGGAGGCTTCTATGCCTCTTGTTATGAACTCTTAAAGGAGCCCAGCCCAAGTCATTCTGCAGAGCAAAATATTCCACCTACAGTAGAAGCTGCCTAGTATACCGTATTTTTCGCTCTATAGGACGCACCGGACCACAAGACGCACCTAGTTTTTAGAGGGGGAAATCAAGAAAAAAAATATTCTCTCAGAGCTTCTCGGGGCTGCGGGGGAAGCCCGGGTTTCCCCCCCAGCCCCAAAGAGCAAAGAAGCCAAGACAGCGAGCGGGATCTAAACCTCTCCAGCGTGGCTAAAGAAGCCAAGGCAGCGAGCGCGATCCAACCCGCCCGCTGCCTTGGCTTCCTCTTTAGCCTTGCACAGCCTCTCCATCCTTTAAGGGGGGAGGCAGGCAGGAAAAGCCCCCAAGAGCTGCACACAAGCTTCACGCGGCTCCTGTGGGCTTTTCTATGAGGAGGGAGAAGGAACTGACTGGCCAAGTCAGTCCCTTCTCCCTCCTGGGAAAAAGCCCACAAGAGCCTCGTGAAGCTTGTGTGCAGCTCTTGGGGGCTTTTCCTGCCTGCCTCCCCCCTGCATTCGCTCCCTAGGACGCACAGACTTTTCCCCTTAGTTTTTAAGAGGGGGAAAGTGCGTCCTATGGAGCGAAAAATACGGTAATTACGCTGACAGTCAAAACACAGAACTGGTGAGAGGAAGATAGAGTTCTAAGCTTTACGATTCACTCACACTAAACTAGACGTGCTCAAGGCACACACGAGAGTCGCACCTTCACTACCGCTGGCCTTTGTGACGATGCTTTTTGACAATAACTCTTACAATCCCAAGAAAGCAACAGTTTAGCATCTTCTCTAGGGTCTAAGAAGGTGGTGACTCAATGCAGTATCTCTTTCCCAGTGTGTCATACAAAGGCTAACTGATCTGCCCCTGGTCAGCATTACCTGCGAGATCCTTTCCACTACTTATAACTCTGCGAAGGGGTCCCATCCAGCTATCAATGCAGTCTGTGATATGGCAGAAGTTGGACTAAAGAAGATTGCCTCCTCGGCAGTGAGCAGTGCACAGCCTGTCATGAATAAACTTGAACCTCAGAGTAAGTAAATCCTGGCTTGATAGTTTCTACTCTTAGGAATGTTTTGGCTCCCTCTCTCATTTAGGTGTGGATGTCCCAAGGCTCCTCAGTGCCGGCAATGTAAGCCTAGAAATCTATTCTAAGCTCCCCACCCTTCGATGTGTGATAAAAGGGTGGGCTATTATGCAATGTTTATATATACCACAAATACAAAATATGATTATATACATTTTAATTAGGGTTGCGGGTGGCGCTGTGGGTTAAACCACAGAGCATAGGACTTGCCGATCAGAAGGTCGGCGGTTCGAATCCCTGTGACGGGGTGAGCTCCCGTTGCTCGGTCCCTGCTCCTGCCCACCTAGCAGTTCGAAAGCATGTCAAAGTGCAAGTAGATAAATAGGTACCACTCTGGCGGGAAGGTAATTGGCATTTCCATGCACTGCTCTGGTTCGCCAGAAGCAGCTTAGTCATGCTGGCCACATGACCCGGCTCCCTCGGCCAATAAAGCGAGATGAGCGCCGGAACCCCAGAGTCAGTCATGACTGGACCTAATGGTCAGGGGTCTCTTTACCTTTACCTTACATTTTAATTGCGATATTGCAATGCAAATACAATATTGAAAACCAAATACATCTCATTAAAGGGCTGAAGTAAAACTAACCTGTGCTTTGATTGCACTCGGTAATCATTTTAGTTTTGAGGTAAAAGGTAAAGTACCCCTGGACGGTTAAGTCCAGTCAAAGGCGACAATGGGGTTGTGGGGCTCATATCGCTTTTCAGGCTGAGGGAGCCAGCGTTTGTCCACAGACAGCTTTCCGGGTCATGTGGCCAGCATGACTAAACCACTTCTGGCACAGCAGAACACCGTGACGGAAACCACAGTGCACGGAAACGCTGTTTACCTTCCCACCACAGTGGTATCTATTTATCTACTTGCACTGGTGTGCTTTTGAACTGCTAGGTTGGCAGGAGCTGGGACAGAGCAGCAAAAGCTCACCCCATCACGGGGATTCGAACCGCCGGCCTTCCGATCGGCAAGCCCAAGAGGCTCAGTGGTTTAAACCACAGTGCCACCCGTGTCCCTTTTAGTTTTGAAAGCTGAGTTGAAAATGCACCAAGTCAACTTCTAAGTAGCCACCTGGTTTTCAAGTAAGTTTTGATTTTGAAGGAAGAGATGAGGCAGCCAGTGAAAGGCTAAATGGCTTCTTCTCTTTCGACAGTCATTTCAGCAAATGCTTACGCCTGCCAGGGCCTTGACAAACTGCAAGAGACTCTGCCTGTTGTGCAGCAGACTATTGAAAAGGTAATGCCTCTACCTCTGCTTCTTCTGTGTAGACAGTCACCCCCCCCAATCATAGCTGTCAACTTACAGATTTGAAAATAAGGGATCAGCAGCCAAAATAAGGGATTTTCAGAGCACAGCTATGTTCAACTTCTGAGCCCCTCGCAGCCAAAGGCAGAAAGCCCAGCCAGCAGCCAAACAAAGCCTCAAACGGTGGTTCCCACAGCGCAGCAACCCGGCGAAGGGGATGCAGCAAGGAAAACCACCGTCACCTCTCCGCTGGGAAGCGCTGAGCAAAGGCGAGTCCCCAGGCTACGCGGCTGATTTGATCGGCACAAGGGATTCAAGCTCCACCCCCCGTCGTTCTTAGACTCCTTATTGGGTGAGCAACGCAGCCAAGCAATACAGTTGGAGCCTCCCTCCTCCCTGGCCGGCAGGGAGGGAGGGAGAGGAGCTGCTTCCTTTGAAACCCAGGAAACTTAAGGGACATCATCAATAAGGGACAGCAGCAGGACACGGCGCTGGGATAAGGAACTTTCCCGCCAAATAAGGGACGGTTGACAGCTATGCCCCCAATCCCCAGCATCCTTTCTGTTACACATTTATGATTATTTGTGCCCTGATGCTATTGGGGTGATCATGCACATTCCCACTTTTATTACTCTTTGTTCCTGCCAAAATTATAGCGGTGGTCACACTGCTTCATTTCCAAGCAGTGCATATCCTGTAACTTCCTGCTGAAACTTTTTTTTTTACCACAAATGTTCCGGTTTTTATATATACAGTGGACACTCGGGTTGCAAACGTGATCCGTGCAGGATGCACTATCGCAACCCACAGCTCTGCATCTGCGCACGCGCAGGTTGCGATTTGGCGCTTCTGCACATGCGCAAAGTACGATTTAGCACTTCTACGCATGTGCAACCGCCGAAACCCGGAAGTAACCTGTTCTGGTACTTCCAGGTTTCGGCAGTCCGTAACCCAAAAAATCGCAACCTGAAGCGCCTGTAACCCGAGGTATGACTGTATATATTTATTGTCCTGCTTACAGCGTGCTATAACTCCCCCAGGCAGCAATAACATGGTAGCGTTGTGGACGCATCGCAGAACAGCTAATAAAGCAGAATAAATCCATCAGTTGTGAACTGTTGTGGGTGTATTCGACAACATGGTCTTGACACAACAAAACTCCGGTCTGGAGGAGCCCAACAGGCCGATGGTCTGACTCTGCATGAGACAGCTTTCAACTTGGGTCACATTTCAATGTACCATCTAGCACTACAAGAGCCAGTGTGGTGTAGTGGTTAAGAGCGGTGGTCTCGTAATCTGGGGAACCAGGTTCACATCTCCGCTCCTCCACGTGCAGCTGCTGGGTGACCTTGGGCCAGTCACACTTCTCTGAAGTCTCTCAGTCCCACTCACCTCACAGAGTGTTTGTTGTGGGGGAGGAAGGGAAAGGAGATTGTTAGCCGCTTTGAGACTCCATAAAGGGAGTGAAAGGCGGGATATCTAAACTCTTCTTCTTCTTCTTCTTCTTCTTCTTCTTCTTCTTCTTCTTCTTCTTCCTCTTCCTCTTCCTCTTCCTCTTCTTCTTCAATTACACTGCCCAGATAATATCAGGAGTTTTACATGTAGAAACTTGACAGGATTCACTTATTGTGCCCTGTGGCACAATTTCTCATATTTCTTTTGTTTGTTCCTAACAATCGCCTATCTATCAGTGCTGAAAGGGGGGGCGGAATAAACATCTTCCCCTCAGGGTTGCATGTGTGTAGAATTACTGCCATCCATTGAATCAAATTGGAGTCGATGACTAGGAAACTAGAGATCCTTCCAGATCTACTTGGGAGGGGCTCTACTCTGGTACTTGGCTTGGAGTTTCACTTCTCTTCTTTCTTGATGTGAGAATATCATTTAAAAATTCCTTCTGCAGGTAGTGCTGAATGCCAGAGGCCTTGTCCTGGGTGCCAAGGATACGGTGTCAGGTCTAGCAGGTGGGGTCAAAGAGGCTGCCCAGGAGAAGATGAAGGTGGCCTTGTCTGCAGTGGTGGTTGGCATGATCATTGTGATGGAGGGCAATATGAAGCAGATGGTGACGAGTGGTATTGACCACATGATAGAGACATCTGTGGAGATGATAGAATACTACCTGCCAGTAACAGATGAAGAACTAGGCGAGACTATTGCAGCTGCTTTTGTGGGGGAGAATGTATTTGGAACCAGGCAGAGGGCCTTCTCGGCAGTGGCACCCGCCCTGTGGAACGCCCTCCCACCAGATGTCAAGGAAATAAACAACTCTCTGACTTTTAGAAGACATCTGAAGGCAGCCCTATTTAGGGAAATTTTTAATGTTTGATGTTTTATTGTGTTTTTAATATCCTGTTGGAAGCCACCCAGAGTGGCTGGGGAGGCCAGGCCAGATGGGCGGGGTATATTATTATTTATTAAGGTATGGGCCAAATACTTAGTATCCATCTCGCTATCTAAAATCTGGTCTACTGAAGTTATTTTAAAAATTGCCATAATATTGTAGATTATAGCTGCCCAGAGTGGCTGAGGCAACCCAGTCAGATGGGCAGGGTACAAATCATGAATTTATTATTATTATAGATAATAATTGTAAAGCACTTTGAATTACTGTGTGATTTAGTGGTATATTAACATGTTTTTAAAATGCTATTTATTAAATTTTCCACTTTAATAATCCAATCAAACCATATTAAATATTCTAAATTATACATATCATTCAATAATCAAACACTCCAAATATTATGCCAAAGTATAAAAAAAATTGGAGGTATCTTCCCATGTTCTGAGGGTCTGATTATCTTCTACTGCTTTTATAATTTTTGCGATAGTTCCCATAAATCATTCCAATGTTAATCCTCATTATTTTTCACAGCCTCTGAGTTTATCAAACAAGTGAGATAAAACAAAACAATATATTCTGTATGGAATTTACGTCCAGAATTCCCTCTGCATGTTCATGATATATCTTCACAAAATGAAGTTTCCGCCAAGCCAGTCCAAAAATCTTATCACCTCGGGCAGCAGATAAAATTAAATCAAGGCATCTAGCGAATGCCTTGGCATCAAGGCATCAGTCCAGATCAAATCAAATCAAATCAAGGCATCTGCCCAATACTTTTAAGACCAGCTGTCCTTCAAATAGTTAACCTGTCCAGGGAAGGTTTGACATATAAAACTGGGAATGCAAATATTAAGTAAGATATTAAAAGGCACCTATCTGGGTAAAAGCCTCAGCGCCTAGGGCTTGCCGATCGAAAGGTTGGCGGTTCGAATCTCCATGGCGGGGTGCGCTCCCGTTGCTCGGTCCCAGCGCCTGCCAACCTAGCAGTTCGAAAGCACCCCCAGGTGCAAGTAGATAAATGGGGACCGCTTACTAGCGGGAAGGTAAACGGCGTTTCCGTGTGCGACTCTGGCTTGCCGGAGCAGCGATGTCACGCTGGCCACGTGACCCGGAAGTGTCTCCGGACAGCGCTGGCCCCCGGCCTCTTGAGTGAGATGGGCGCACAACCCCCAGAGTCTGTCAAGACTGGCCCGTACGGGCAGGGGTACCTTTACCTTTACCTTTATCCCCCTCAGGCTCCGCATTTAAATTCAACAAGCTGATCTACTTCCAATCATGGCCGCTTGATTAATTGGAGTTGCGCCATTGATTCTAATTCCAGGCAAACTTCCAAAGTTTTTTTGGAGTCTCTCCAGTCATTCTCCAAATCAAAGTTGGGAAACTCTTTATCCTCTTCCAAATACATCTGCAGACAAATACTTTGAACTTGGTTTTCCACTTTTGAATAATTGTTATTTCCACACAGTTAATGATTACAGTGGTACCTCAGGTTAAGTACTTAATTCGTTCCGGAGGTCCATTCTTAACCTGAAAACTGTTCTTAACTGAAGGACCACTTTAGCTAATGGGGCCTCCCGCCGGAGCACAATTTCTGTTCTCATCCTGAGGCAAAGTTCTTAACCTGAACCACTATTTCTGGGTTCGCGGAGTCTGTAACCTGAAGCGTATGTAACCTGAAGCGTATGTAACCTGAGGTACCACTGTATTAGTCATATTATATCACCAAATACACCACCTCTCCAGTCTCACTTGCTATATCGGACAGTTGGTTCTTTCAGAGGAGGATTTTGCCATATAATATAGCAAAACAAAATATAATAACAAAGGAGGCTCACACACCCCCTTTCAGTTCCAGCGTACACAGCCTTGTACGCTTTCAGTTCCAGCGTGCACAGCCTTGCCGCTGCTCCCCGACCTGCTCTTTGGGGCTGACGGTGGGGGAAAGCAGCGCTTCCCCCTGCCAGCCCCAAAGAGCATGTCGAAAGGAACCCGAAGCCTCCGGAGGCTTCAGGTTGCCTTCACTGAAGCCTGGAGAGCAAGAGGGGTCAGTGCGCACCGACCCCTCTCACTCCCCAGGCTTCCAAGGTAGCCACCTGAAGCCTCCGGAGCGCAGCAGGAATTCCCGCTGCACTCCGGAGACTTCGGGTTGCCTTCACTGAAGGCGACTGAAGGCACCTTGAACGCAGCTTGTTTTAGAGGGGGAGAACAAGGGGGGGAAATCTCCCCCTCTCTGCGCAGCGCCGCTTCAGCGAAGTGGGAGGATAAATGGAAGGGGCTCCGTTTCTCCTACCCCTTCACTGAAGGGGCGCTGAGCAGAGAGGGGGAGAATTTTTTTTCTTGTTCTCCCCCTCTAAAACAAGGTGCGTCCTATGGTCGGGTGCGTCCTATAGAGCGAAAAATACGGTAGGTTTATGGGGGTAGCAGAAATAAATAGCCACTTAACATGCAAAGGGGGTTTTTTGTCAAGACCGTGTATGTTCTTTTCTAGCTGCCCTCGCAGCCTCTATGGTGATAAACAACCCTGAAGAAGCTGCTGAAACACCTCCTGTCAAAAAGGAGAAAGAGGAGGAGAGTTACTATCGGCGCCTGGGTGCTCTCTCAGCCTTTTTCCGACACAGAGTCTACCAGAGTTCTCTGGCAAAGATGCGAAGGATCAAGCGAAGCACACAGGAGATACTCTTCCAGCTTCAAGAAGCTGTTTTGTTGGTAAGAACTGAACTACTCCTCTGGTTCCAAGATGGAGGACAGAGGTAGCCCCACCCTCCGGAAGTTGTGGGACTACAACTCCCATCAGCCCCAGCCTGCATGACCAATGGCTGGAGATGATGGAACTTGTAGTCCAATGCCATAAGAACGTCATGTTGGATATGCAGAAGGGTTAATGGGGTCTGGGCAAGTGGTGTTCGGAATAACCACTGAGACAGAAATGCTTGGCACTGAAAGAAAGATGGTGGCGCCAGGCATGCCTCCCTTAGGAGCGGATACCACCCATGAGAAGCCACCACTGAAAAGGCTCATTTTGTGTTGCTGCTCTCCAGACTTCCCTTGGAGCAGAGATGAGTATAGTGAGTACTCAGCTGAAAGCTCTTGAAAGTCTAATCCAATACAGTGGTACCTCAGGTTAAGTACTCAATTCGTTCCGGAGGTCTGTTCTTAACCTGAAACTGTTCTTAACCTGAAGCACCACTTTAGCTAATGGGGCCTCCTGCTGCCGCTGCGCTGCCGGAGCACGATTTCTGTTCCCATCCTGAAGCAAAGTTCTTAACCTGAAGCACTATTTCTGTGTTAGCGGAGTCTGTAACCTGAAGCGTATGTAACCTGAAGCGTATGTAACCTGAGGTCCCACTGTACTGTAACTCCTGCCCACCTCTTTACTAACTTCTGTGGCAGAATATTGAAGTGGCTTTTAAGATAATGCTTGAAAAGGTCTCTAATGAAATATGGAAGGGGAGTGGCTGAATGGAGTTCAAGCTATTGGTCAACAATAGCTGCAAGATACTTCTTTATATTGAATGTTAATATTTTGAAAATGCCTTTCCAGGTAAAGTACACCTTGCAGTCTCTGGATAGGCAACTGAATCCTCAGGTTGCTAATCACCAGAAGGAAATGGAACCAATCTTGGTGGAGTGGAATGGGAGTATTCCAATGCCGAGCCAGAGCTACGAAGAGAGTCTTTTAGAGGTATGCTTTAGAGATAGCAACAGTGTTTCCCAAACTGGGGTCTCCAGCTGTTTTAGACTACAGCTCCCATCATCACTAGCTAGCAGGACCAGGGGTTGGGGATGATGGGAACTGTAGTCCAAAAACAGCTGGAGACCCCAGTTTGGCAACCACTGCTGTAGACCAAGTATGGAGAACCTGTGTCCCTCCAGATGTTTTTGTTATTCTTTAGTCATTTAGTCGTGTCCGACTCTTCGTGACCCCCCTGGACCAGAGCACGCCAGGCCCTCCTGTCTTCCACTGCCTCCCGCAGTTTGGTCAAACTCATGCTGGTACCTTCGAGAACACTACCCAACCATCTCATCCCCTGTCATCCCCATCTCCTTGTGCCCTCCATCTTTCCCAACATCAGGGTCTTTTCCAGGGAGTCTTCTCTTCGCATGAGGTGGCCAAAGTATTGGAGCCTCAGCTTCACGGTCTGTCCTTCCAGTGAGCACTCAGGGCTGATTTCCTTCAGCATGGAGAGGTTTGATCTTCTTGCAGTCCATGGGACTTTCAAGAGTCTCCTGCTGCACCATAATTCCAAAGCATCAATTCTTTGGCGATCAGCCTTCTTCATGGTCCAGCTCTCACTTCCATACATCACTACTGGGAAAACCATAGCTTTAACTATACGGACCTTTGTTGGCAAGGTGATGTCTCTGCTTTTTAAGATGTTGCGTCTTTTAATTTCGTGGCTGCTGTCACCATCTGCGGTGATCATGGAGCTCAAGAAAGTAAAATCTCTCACTGCCTCCATTTCTTCCCCTTCTATTTGCCAGGAGGTGATGGGACCAGTGGCCATGATCTTCTTTTTTTTGATGTTGAGCTTCAATCCATATTTTGCGCTCTCCTCTTTCACCCTCAATAAAAGGTTCCTTAATTCCTCCTCACTTTCTGCCATCAAGGTTGTGTCACCTGCATATCTGAGGTTGTTGATATTTCTTCTGGCAGTCTTAATTCCGGCTAGGGATTCATCCAGCCCAGCCTTTCGCATGATGAATTCTGCATATAAGTTAAATAAGCAGGGAGAGAATATATAGCCTTGTCGTACTCCTTTCCCAATTTTGAACCAATCAGTTGTTCCATACCCAGTTCTAACTGTAGCTTCTTGTCCCACATAGAGATTTCTCAGGAGACAGATGAGGTGATCAGGCACTCCCATTTCTTTAACAACTTGGCATAGTTTGCTGTGGTCAACACAGTCAAAGGCTTTTGCATAGTCAATGAAGCAGAAGTAGATGTCTTTCTGGAACTCTCTACCTTTCTCCATAATCCAGCGCATGTTTGCAATTTGGTCTCTGGTTCCTCTGCCTCTTCTAAATCCAGCTTGCTCTCCTCACCCCCAACCATGGGCTGGTCTGATGGGAGTTGGGATCAAACAACACCTGAAGGTTACAAGTTTCCCACCCTCCCCTAGTGTAAACAACACTTGGCTATATGGACCAATGTTCTGACTTGGTACAGGGCAGTTTCTTTTGCTGCATTTCTGATGCTAAGCAACTTTTGTCCCGGGCAAAGTTGCTGGATTTGGGGTGGGTGGAATCTAGCCTTCCTGAAGAGTCAGATGTTTCTGCAAATATTTGCTGCAGTTCTCGGTAAACATGAATGAAGACAATGCCAATGCCGAGGGTTGGTTCGAAGCTCCTTTGCTTGCGCAAAAAGCATCTCTCTGGCCTCTCACATGGGCAGAAGGGGAAGTAGTGCTTGACTTCCCCCAGCCTGCAGCCTCCCAAAATGGGTCCAGAGCACTGGAGTGGTGTGAGCCAAGCAACATGGACGGTTGCAGCCTTGTAGAGAAATCAGTACTGCCGTTCAGTGCATGAGTAAGTAGACGTGCCTTCTTTCTTAAAGGTAAAGGTAAAGGGACCCCTCACCATTAGGCCCAGTCCTGACCAACTCTGGGGTTGCGGTGCTCATCTCGCTTTATTGGCTGAGGGAGCCGGCGTACAGCTTCTGGTTCATGTGGCCAGCATGACTAAGCCACTTCTGGCGAACCAGAGCAGCGCACGGAAACGCCATTTACCTTCCCACTGGAGCGGTACCTATTTATCTACTTGCACTTTGACGTGCTTTCGAGCTGCTAGGTTGGCAGGAGCAGGGACCAAGCAACGGGAGCTCACCCCGTCGCAGGGATTCGAACCGCCGACCTTCTGATCGGCAAGTCCTAGGCTCTGTGGTTTAACCCACAGCGCCACCCGCGTCCCTGCCTTCTTTCTTAGCCTCTCTCAAATACTTGTACTGAAAGCTTAGGGTTGTGTACCATAAGCATGTCATCTAACAAGTCCTCTCTTCCCTTCCACTCCATGACAGGCAGAATCGCAGGTTCTAAGCTTGACCTACGGCATCAGCCAGCAGATGCGGAATATCTGCCAGACATTCTTGGCTAACGCGCAGGGCCTCCCTGTTGATCTCTTAGAAAAGGTGCAGCAAACATATAGCAGCATGGAAGATCTGCAGGAGACCCTCTCTGGTGCCAAATCCTTGAAGGACCTTCCCAGTGGTAGCCTGAAGGAGAGCCAGGAGAAGATTGGGGAGGCCCAGGAGACCATATTTGAGACCCTAGAATACGTGATTGTGACAACATTGGTGGCTGGGTCCTTTTTTCCTCCTCAAACCTCTATGGAAGAATCTGAAAAGGAGGCAAAGGCAGAGGCCTAAAAGAGTGCCAGTCGTGGGGTTGTGCTTGGAACTTGTCTACTACTCTTGGACCAATATGTAGCATAAGGATTCTGACTTCTGGAAAAGTGTAAGAACTAAAATTGTCCCTAATGGTAAATTCCTTAGACTGGTGATGTTTCTAGGGAATGAGAGATGCTTCCAAATGTTTTAAAACAAACTGTTTATCAAATTTGCACGCACTGTATGTTTAAAGTTCATGACTTCACCCTCACCTTCCAAAATCCTGGGAACTGTACTTTGTTATGGGTGCTCTGTAAAGAGCAATCTGCAGTTGCCAGGATCCTTTGGGGAAACCATGTGCTTTAAATCTATGGTGCGTACACAACTGTACTCCTTTTTGATAATTATATTGAGCAAAGCCTTATATCTACAAATCGAAAGGTTCAACTTGACCTTGTCTGACGAGCTGCAGAAATCTTAAGGGGCCTGCCATGTGGGGGGCAAATACCGATGAAGTGCTATTTAAATGTGTCTTGCGTATTTTATAAATAAAGCGTAGTGAAAAACTGAGGTATTGTTACTGTTCCTGAACAAAAGTTTGAGCTCCTAGTGCTCTACTGCACTCTTGTCCAAAGGGGGGGGGTTCCCTCTGGAGCACAGAAATGGCTTTGTGTATAGCAGGCACTCTCATGGCCTCACAAAATGGCCAAGATCGACAAACACCTTTTTCTACCCAATAACTAGCAAATTGCTACTCTTCCTTTTGAGCAGAGGGAAGCTTCAAGCCATGGCTGCAGTATTCCAGCAGGGTGGAGGTACCCCACCATGGCTATAGCCAACGGTATTTAAAGCCACTTGGAAATCCCGGGAGAATCAGTGGGGCCATTTCCCCCAAACTTTCTGCTAGAACAAGTTGCCCACTAGAGCAACCAAGTTAGTTCAGGCCCCAAAACCAGCTTAAAGCTGACCAAAAGCTATTCGCTAATTGGTTTTGTCCATTTGATGGGGTCATTGTTGATGCATTTGAGCACCTCGCCCCAAAAAGGAATATTGGGCAATAAGCTAAATCAGATGGATATAATATATATATTTTTATTCAACAAAGGGATACTCCATTGGGACCAGTAAACACATAACTCTCCCTTCAATGAGGTGTTTCCATCCTTTTAACATAATCAACCCTTGCTTTTTATTTTTATTTTCCCTCCCTTCACCCTTAGATCCCAGCCCAGGTCACAACCATTGAAAACATAGCATTGAAAACAGTTTAAAACAACGGAACAGAGTCCTAAAACCTAGAATTTGAAGGCAATGATTAGGAACCACTTTGGATTCTGTTCCTTTCTTTGCCTCTTTCGCTGCCACAGGACTAGTGGAGGGGAAATGAAGGGTGAGTCCGCTTTTATATTTGGGCTGAGGCTCGTGTCAACTTTCCGGTTTGTTTTCCTAAAAGAGGAACTGAAAAGAACAGGCGTATCTCAGCAAAAGCCTGACTGAATTCCACATAAATCCCACTGCTATGTTGTTGTTTTTGTGTGAAAGAAAAATGCACTTTGAACACAGATAGAGCTCATATCTGGCATAGGAGGGGAGACCACACAGCTGGTAACAGCTCAGAACTAGTCTACACAAAATGCAAACTATACAGGCTATATTTAATTTCTGCATTTATCTCCCACCTTTTTTTGCTCCTTACGCCTCATTTAATCCACACAACCCTGTGAGGTAGCTTAAGCTGAGGGGCAGTGGCTGGCCCAAGGTCACCCAGTGAACATCATGTCCCAGGGGAATTTTAACCCTGAGACTCATCTACATTTGTCGACTTATGACGTTATAAATGTGTTATAACAATGTGACACTAGGTGGCGCTGTAGAGCTGAAATCACAAGTCAACAAGAATTTATGTTGAGCTTTTTGCAACTTTCAAAGCGTTGCATAGTGTTTTTTATAGCTGGTCTCCCAAGTCCTAGTCAGACACTCTTAACTACTAGACCACATCGGCTCTCAGTATGACTGTACCATTTCATACTACAGTGGTACCTAGGGTTAAGTACTTAATTCGTTCCGGAGGTCCGTTCTTAACCTGAAACTGTTCTTAACCTGAAGCACCACTTTAGCTAAGGGGGCCTCCTGCTGCTGCCGTGCCGCTGGAGCACGATTTCTGTTCTCATCCTGAAGCAAAGTTCTTAACCTGAGGTACTGTTTCTGGGTTAGCGGAGTCTGTAACCTGAAGCATATGTAACCCGAGGTACCACTGTACTGGTGAAAGATCACCCAACAAAATGCCACCCCCATTTAAAAAAAAATTATGATTTCCTGTATGTAGAAAACTGGACCGTGTTCATGAAAGATAATCTTACTCGGCTACAAGTGATTGCCAAAGAAGAAGGTTATTTCTAGCAAGCAGAACAGCTTCTTTGGCTTCCAGTAACTGCTGTTCAGAAGCATTACTGTCCCTGGTCATGGAGGCAGAGTACAGTCATCATGGCTAGCAGCTATTCATAGCCATATTCTCCATGAATTTGTCCGATTCTATTATAAAGCTACGCAGTGTCTTCCATAGTTTAACTAATCAGGTCAGGGAGAATGGTTCAGCCCATGGGCATAACCCAGGAAGCAGGGAGGGCAGGTGGCCAGCAGTCAAGTAAATAAATAAAAATACTTAACTGAAAGTAGAAATAATCAGAATATTCAAAATTGAAATGCTCGCTGTGGCCACTTGGATGATGTTGTGGCTCATTCTAGTCATGCAACTGGCTACCCGACTGAGCGATAGGTGTGGCTTCCGCAAACTGGCCAATCGTGTCGCAGGTGGCTCGGTCCAGCCCCACCCATAAACCCATGGTTCAGCCTCGTTATATTTCTTTGTGCAAAGAGAGATTTGGTCCCACCCATTCCCTCCCAACTGGGAGCAGGTACCGTATTTTTCGCCCCATAGGACGCACCGCCCTATAGGACGCACCTAGTTTTTTGGGGGGGGGAAAATAAAGAAAAAAATTATTTTCCCCCCCTGGCACGGGGCTGGTGCGGGGGAAGCCCGAGCTTCCCCCGACCCCAGCCCCCAGAACAGCCTGCTATCCGCAAGCCTAGGGAGCCGCGCCGGTCTCCCCAGGCTTGCGGACAGCTGTGCGAAGCCCGCGCGCTCTTCAGCGCACCCGAGGCTTCGGAATGCAGGCAGCTCTGCACAACCCTCCAGAGCCCGGCGCGGCGCCGGGCTCCGGAGGGTCGCGCAGAGCTGCGCGGACCCCGGGAGGGTTGCGCAGAGCTTCCTGAAGCCTGGAGAGCGAGAGCCTCTCACTCTCCAGGCTTCAGTGAAAGCCTGTATTCGCCCCATAGGACACACACACATTTCCCCTTCATTTTTGGAGGGGGAAAGTGCGTCCTATAGGGCGAAAAATACGGTATATATGCAATGCATCTCCTGCAGTCTGAATTGACAGGGTGGGGAAAGCTTCACCACTTGATTCCAATTTATTGTATAAACTGCACCTTCTTCCTCTTCCTCTTTATCACTGCATTAAAAGGTAACTGCATGTTCTCCAGATTGCATTCTGGCAGCACTAACTCTGGTACCATTTGGCCTCTTACATAGAGACTGCCCTATGCTGCAGAACCTGTTCTGCCCTCATTATTCCTTTGTGCGTAGAAGTGGTATTAAAGGCACAAAAACGACACCTGGAAAAGAAAACAAATAAACTGGTAATCCTATGCTTAATCCGCCGAGATTTACATGTACCGGCCTGTTTCCTTTTATGATTTTGTTCCTAAAGTACATGGCTCCTGATCAGCCTGGCTTGAGTTCAAGCTGGGCATCGAAGGAAATTATAGACACTGTTTGAAGCTGTGGCTGCGAAGGAAGCAAGGAAAGAATTGGAAAGTGATTGACAAGTGGGTGGTTTCACCCATCTATCAAAGTGGCCCAAAGTGGGGGAGCTCTGGATCCGGCCCGCCTTCAGCAATCTTCAATGGGAAAGTGGCCTGGAATGAGAATAGTAGCGGCAAGAGGAATCTGCAAAGATATGTTGCATTATAGAGTGCTGCTGTTCAGAAATCCAGTAACTCCCTTCCAACACACATACACACCGAGGGGAGAGGGAGAAAGTTTTTATTCACACTAGCCAAGTCAGTGAGCATTCTGTCCCTCACAGCACTCTTAGTCCTCACTGGGCTGTTTTTGGTCCTTTGCAGATTAGAGCTCTCCCTTCACACACACACACACCCCAAATCACAACAGATCAATTTCTTACTGAGGAATATTTTGATGTTCTAAAAACTGGAAAGTTTTTAAATTAACCTACACTCTTGGAGACTCTTGAGAGTCCCATGGACTGCAAGAAGATCAAACCATTCTTAAGGAAATCAGCCCTGAGTGCTCACTGGAAGGACAGATCCTGAAGCTGAGACTCCAATACTTTGGCCACCTCATGAGAAGAGAAGACTCCTTGGAAAAGACCCTGATGTTTGGAAAGATTTGAGGGCACAAGGAGAAGGGGACGGCAGAGGATGAGATGGTTGGATAGTGTTCTTGAAGATACCAGCATGAGTTTGACCAAACTGCGGGAGGCAGTGGAAGACAGGAGTGCCGGGCATGCTCCGGTCCATGGGGTCACAAAGAGTCGGACACGACTAAACGACTAAACAACAACAACAACACTCTTGAGGTGTGCTCCTCCACGGACTCCAGCCTTCATCTCTAGACAGGAAAGGATTTGCACCATTAGAATGCAGGGTTCTGGATATACACATTAGAACTGGTTATTTGGAGCAATAAAAACAATAAAGAGAAGTGGGAAGTTTTGGAACTCACAAGGGCATATTTTAAAGGTCTAGCAGCCTATATTTTCTGGCTTTACTTTGCTGCATGTTTTGTGATTTTAAATATCGGCGGAGGTTTTCTCACCAAAGAGTACATGCCCCAAGCCTGGATTTTGGCACCCAGGAATTCTCCTTCTATATACCGATGTTCTGACTTGGTCTAAGGCAGCTTCTGATATTCCGATATTTGAAGTGTTGGACAAACATTCAGCTAATGCGTTATGTTTCTGCTGCAGCTAGAGGTCTCACTTTAGCTTTTTATTAAATTGCTCATGCTGTACGTATGTTCCCTTTCACCACTTCACTTTCATTTCCTTCAGTTTAGCTGACGTAGTGCTTTCTGTTCTCAGATAGCCACTCCCTATCCATTATCGCCAACTATGAAATATTACAGTAAGCTAACACAGCAAGATAGTAAGGTGCAGAAAGGCTTGGGCTTTCACCTCAGGAGGAAAGTGAATGGATTTAAAAGCTGGGAAAACATCGGTAGTCAACATTTCACAAGTAATTTGGCACTGTCGGGTCCGAAATGATGGAAATATTTTTTTAGCACTATAAAACTTTAGAAACAATACTGTAAATGTGACCTCCTCTTAACATGCTTTCGCCAGTGTGGTGCCCTCCTGATGTTTGGGGCTATTTTGTTTTTATGATTATTTAACAAAATTTATATACTGCTGGATTGTAGTAAAACTTTAC